GGGGTTAGGATTAGGGGGGCCCTTGGGGATGTAGACCCTCTCAATAAGGTCCGTTGTTAAGAGAGCCATAAGCAGGGTTTAGAAGGGTCCTTTTAGGGGGTCTCCTTAATACTGCCTAGGATTCCATGGTATCCGGGTTCGGGGCGTTGGGTTGTTTACCCATAGGCCCCCAAGCAGTTCCTTTTTGTGGTTCATATTTAGAACCCTATAAGGTAATCCCCAAAAGGAACTAGTTCGGGGCCTGTGGGTAGCGTTTAAGATTTTACTTCTACGACCGCCGAGGCCTTCCCAGTTTCGCTCTAGAGGCATCCGTCGAGTGGGAAGGGTTTAGGGTTTAGGGTTGTGTCTTTGGCTGCATCCGGCTGCTGTGCCTTTAGCTGGACCCGCGACGTGAGCCGCGAGCTCCGCGAAATATAGAGACGCAAAGGCTAGGTAATCTACATAGGCTCCGCCCTAGGAGGAGCTTCGATTCTGCAGCCACCTTGAACACAGGGGTCTGAAGGACCAGCAGGCAGCCGTGTCCAGGGCCAGCTTTTGCCATTGGTACCCGTGCCTCAAGACCAAGGGAGCAAAGGCAAGAAATGTCGCTTGCTGGAATCGCCTCAAGGCTGCTGCCAACGACCCTTTCCCTTGCCCCTTCTTCTGATTGTGTCGAGACCATGGCGCCCGGTGCTACCTCGGTCGAAATCGTTTGGTCTATGAAGCGGTCCAATAATAAGGGCTTCTATCAGGATCGGGCAGCATCATATGAGGGTTCTGGGCCTTGTTGTAGGGTGGGAGGGGTTGAAAAGGAGCAGAACCCAAAACATGCCAACACCCGAAGCCTTATACTAACTAGACAAAAGACTGGGCTAGGGATTTTTCGGGTATATACTAATTCACATGGAATCTGTATATGGTCCACATATCGGGCCCTCAGATTAAACGGCTTTTGTTCTGCGCGGTAGACGCCGAACCCGAAACCCTATACCCGTATAAACAATTCCAAAACCCTGTATATGCCCCATAAAGCCAGGCTGCATGGCCCCTTCAAACGTGAAGGACTCTACATTCTGACTTAGGGTTTAAGGGTTTAGGGCTTAGGGTCTTCAGGTATCCCAAATCCTCTGTTTAGGTTCATGATGAGCGCATATATAATCTCAGACTCGGCAACCGGGAAAGGACCTGTTCCTGAAATACAGGCCGTTGGGGTCTCTGAACGTGCTTGGACCCTAACTGCTTAACCGACCCAAAGCCCTGGGTAGTTCTCTAAATTAGGGTCCCTTTCAGGGTCTTTTGTTGTTTTTTTTTCAAGGGTGCCGTACAATATTGGGGACCAAAAAAGGGACCCTACGGTTGATGATATAAATCCTGCATTACCCATAATAAGGAATATACCATAATTCCCATAGTTTAGGGTCCTTCAAGTAATGCAAGATTTATATCATCAACAGTAGTTTAGAGAACTACCCCCCCCTTGCAATCAACGACCCGAGCCAAAGGGCCTCAAAGAGCATCCCCGGCTTCTGGGTATCAGTAAGCACTAAACCTGTAATCCCCCTGTGACCCCTCACATTCAGGGATTAGAGTTTAGGGTTTAGGGTCTAGGGGCCTAGGGTTTATGGTTTAGGGGTAATCCTAAAACTTGTGACCCCTTACAACGAGGCTCGCGATGTAGAGTCAGCCCCGAGACCTTGAACCCACAACCCTAAACCCAATGCCTCCCAACATGGGGCCCAGGAGGGCACTGGGTTTTTAAAGCCCTCCAGCCACTCCAAACCATACTATGGGACCCTTGTGCGAACCTTTTAAAAGGAACCACGATCAGTCTTGTAAAACCTACTGGGAACCCCAACAATCGCAATGCTTTCCCCTCCATAAACTCAAGACCCTAAGTCTAATCTAATCCTTAAGCCATTAAACCATCTTGGACCCTACACGCCCGAAGCTTTAAGCCCGCAACCTTTCATTTCTTATCCCTGAGCCCTGTAAGCCGTGAACCCTCAGCCGAGGATGACTTCCCTGACGGTGCCTCCGTCTCAGACTTCTGTTTGCCGGCTCTCGCGCACGCCTTGGCAGCCGGGAGGTTCTGTAGGTTCAGGGTTTAGGGTTTAGGGTTTAGGATTTAGGGTTTAGGGTTTAGGGTTCTGCTGCTAAACGGTTTCGACTTGGAGGTCGACGGCTTGGGATCAAGGGTTTGCAGCTTCGGGTTTGGCTTCTGAGACTGTCCTTTTCCAGGATCTGGTCACGTTACCTGTCCAAGTACCTCCAAAATCATCTACTCTCCCACATTACTAATCAACAAGACTACCATATACTCTCCCATAATACTAATCAACAAGACTACTATCCCAAACCCAAGAACCTCATTATTGGGTCCTTTGGGCGCTTTGGGTGTGGGTCCCTCTGGGAGCCTGCCTGCGTCCAGCGATTTCGGGCACCGGCGAGGAGCGCCCTGGCATGGCGTACAACATTATTGCCTTCGGCTTTAGGGTTTGGCTTAAAGGGGTTTCGGTAGTTTTGGGGGCTTGGGGATCAAGGGGGTTCTGTAGTCTTGGGCTTGGGGTTAAAGGGGTTTCGGGGGTTTTAGGGCTTAGGGTTAAAGGGGTTTCGGTGGTTTAGGGTTTTTTGGGGGGTCTTTGGGGTCTGGTCTTCGGGGTTAGGGTCGAAAGCAAGGGAACTTTGGCTTTGAGGCTTAAACCTTTTGCTGCTCAGATCGCTGGAAGTGGCGTGCTGGGGACATGCAGACCACCAAACACTAGCTCTTGTCCAGCCTAAGCTACGGTGCTCAACATTTGGAGTGGGCTTTGGGATATAGTATGTATGTATACATATATATATGTATATGTATGTAAGTATGTAAGTATGTAAGTATGTTATGTAAGTATGTAAGTATGTAAGCATGTAAGTATGTAAGTATGTAAGTA